CCCAAAATCTCTGTAAATGTTTATGAAAATTAATAAAATATAATTATAGAAAAAAAAATAACAAAAGTTTCATCAAAAAGATTCCTAGTGCTCCTTTTTATAGACACAGCTACCTCCTTCCTACTCCATCTTTTCTACTTTTGTATTGTATCTCATATTGTCTGATTGTTGGGAAAATTAAAAGGGAGATACCTGTTTTATTTTTCATTGAATCTTCAGAACCTAAAAGAGTATATGTCCCATTGTAGGTGCCAGATACACAGTTATTAAATGAATCACTTATGCAAAGGATAGTGCTCTCTGGTGAGGAAGAATTGGGAGAAACCTTGGCTTATATACACAACACTGTTTTGATATAGATTTCACATAAGCACAATCAAGTATTCTGGGATTCCCATTCTCCTCAAGGTTAGCCACAATTTGTTGTGATCCACACAGTCAAATGTCTTAGCATAGTCAGTAAAACACAGACATCCCTCTAGTACTCTTTGCTTTATGCCAACATCCATCTGACTTTGACAATAATGTCTCTAGTGTCTTCTAAATCCAGCTTGTATTTCTGGTAGTTCTCTTTCAGTGTACTATTCCAGTCATTTCTGGATAATCTTCAGCAGGATTTTGCTTGTGTGTGATATGAGTGATAATGTATGATAATTTCAACACTCTGTTGGATCACCTTTTCTTTGGAATGGGAATAAATATGGATCTCTTCCAGTCTGTTGGCCAGGTAGTTGTCCTCCAGATTTCTTGGCACAACCTGGTGAACATGTCCAGGGCCGCAACTGTTTGTTGAAATATTCTGTGCATAGCCCATGTTATTAGTTTCATGGTATAAACAATAAAGCATCATATGAATAGAGGCTAATAATTGATAGGCTGTTTCTGGTCACCTTATAATCTCTGACCTAGATTTCCCTGGGAGTCCAAAGACCTTACATATTTTTACTTTGATTGGTCAGAGAAGAATTTAAAAATATGATTAATGCCACTTCTTTATCTTCTTTTTATTTAAGTAAAATCCTAAATGGCACACCTTAAGCAGCATATATTAGGATTGGATTTCTTAATGGTATCATATTATCATTGCAGATGCCTAACATTTTTTTAATTGGAATAGACCGATGTGAAAATCTTTTTACCTCACATGATTACATGTTTTTTGAAGGAATTAAGACTGTTGACTGGGTTGAGGACAAACAAACAAGAGAAGCTATTTCACCCAAAACTTGGCTTGAGGACAGAGGGACAGAAACCGAGAACATAACCACAGTTCCTGACATCAAGTCACCTGTCCCTTCATTATGCATGATGGATATTCCATCTTCTGAAACTGTTGTACTTCGTTCTGTCTTGAAGAAACCCTCTTCTAATCTACTTACAGAAAGCTTACAGGTAGCTACCTTGCCTAAACGAAATGTAATAAAAATTTATTTTACCACGTCATAGTGATATAAGAGTGAGTATGTCATTTACATTTTTTTTAACTTCCTCTTTTCTCATGTGTAGGAGTGTGTGTGAGTTTCTCTGATCTTTCCCCCTAAATCAGTATGCTATATGGTATCCAGAATATAAGTTGACTAGTTCATAAAAGACTTAAAATTATTACGAATTTTCTATTTCCTCCCAGGGTATTTGATATTAGAAATAGTTTTTTTTTGCAGGCATGATTCTTTCTTTGTGGCAAAATTTCAAAGGGAATTTTGCTGCAAATTCAAAAGTGGCACCTCTCAGGTTGATTGAATCTACCAGCTGCTCTGTTGGAGGAAAATGGGCATTTCCTCCTATGAAGTACAGCCTTGGAAACCCTATGGAAGGGGCTGTGACTGGGAATTGACTCATTGGTACTTTGTTGGTTTGGTTGTCTAGGTAACTTAATTTTTGTTTGGGATTAATAATCATGTTCTCTTTTATACTACTTTACCTACAAAGTTAGTATACATTCTTTTTCCCACCAGATCTTTCCCATTTCCTTTACTGTCCCTTCCTCATCCCCATGAAATTGTGCAACCCTGTGATTAACCACCCCACCCACTGCCCATCCTCACCACTCTGCCCCCCACCCCTGCCTGCCTCTCAATCCTCATACTTATTCTACAATAATAGTCTCATATAATATTTGACCTTATAGAACTGAGGTAGTTCACTTAGCATAATGCCCTCCATTCCCTCCCAAGTTAGGTAGTGATTTACAAAATCCTTTCTCCTGCATTCTGTATGGTATTCTGTCATGTGAATGTACCATAATTTCTCAATCCATTCAGTTATGATGAGATATTTGGACTATTTCCATATTCTTGCGATGGTGAATAACGCTGCTATAAACATAATATGTAACGTGATATCTGCCTTTGGGGAGAATTCACACTATTTTTAATGACTTTTCATTGATGTTTATATTGTTAGGAACATTGTGACAACCTCTGTGGTGGTGAGACTCATTCAAGCGTGATGCCAAATTTTAGAATCCATTACCAAGAACAAAAAGCAGGTAAAAAAATTTTACACATTTATTTATTTAATTTTAATGAAAGTTTACAGAAACTTAGGGTTTCAGTCATTCGTTATTGCACTTTTCCCCCTACCCACTCCCACCCCCCTAATTCACTCTTCTTAAAATGAAAAACTCTTTCATTGTTATGCCATCCTTCCCCCCTCAACTCCACTCCACTGTGTAGTCTTCACTCTGGACTTTAAAAATGACAAGAATACCCATTCATACGTCCCTTTTAAACAGTTCTCTCCCTCATTTGTTTCAGTGCAATATATACATCATTCCTCCGCTCCTTTTCTGTCTTCCCTCAACCCTGATATCAGTCCTGTTTTACCACAGTGGCCCTATGTAATATTTGTCCTTTTGTGACTGAGCTATTTCACTCAGCAAAATGTCCTCCAGGGTAATCCATTTTGCATAATATTTCATGAGTTCCTTCTTTTTCTTTTCTTTTTTAAATTTTATTATTGTTATGAGTGTGTACCGTCAAATTGGAGAGAACCTTGTTTTTCAGTGCTGCAGAGTATTCCATTGTGTGGAATATACCAGTTTCTCTATCCATTCGTTTGTTGATGGGTACTTGGTTTGTTTCCAGCTCTTTGCTATTGCAATCAAAGCTGCAGTAAACATGGGTGTGCATATATCTGCTTGGGTGGCAGTTATGGTTTCTTTAGGGAAAATTCCAAGTAGTGGAATTGCTGGGTCAAATGGTATTTCTATTTGCAAGTTGTTTTTTGTTTAATTTATTTTAGTTTTAATTTTATTATTTGTGTGTGTGTGTGTGTGTGTGTGTGTGTGTGCCGTCAAATCGGATCTAACTGGTACAGGAGGAGATTGCCCCTCCTTGCCTGGCAGAGCATCTTGGTGGATTCGAACCATGCACTTCTGGGACTGCAGTGCAGCTTCTTGTCACTAGGCCACCAGAGATCCCCTATTTGCAAATTTTTGAGAAAGCGCCATACAGCCTGCCATAGTGGTTGTACCTTTTTACACGTCCACCAACAGTGAATAAGGGTTCCAGTTTCTCCACAACCTCACCAACATTTGTTGCTTGCTGTTCTGTTAAATTTTGCTATTCTTACTGGGATGAGATGATATCTCATAGTTGTTTTGATTTGCATCTCTCTTAGAGCTAGAGATTTTGAACATTTCTTCATGTGCTTGTTAGCTATCTGAATGTCTTCTTTGGTGAAGTGTCTGTTGATATCCTGTGTCCATTTTTCAATTGGGTTATTTACTTTTATCTTGTTGTGGTGCTCAAGTATTTTATAAATTTTATATGTAAGTCCCTTGTCTGACATGTCATTACCAAATTTTTTTTCCAGTGTATGGCTTCCCTTTTTACACTGTTGGAGAAGTTTTTGGATGTGCATAGGGATTTGATTCTTAGAAGGTTCCATCTATCCTCTCCTGGTTGTAGAAAAATTACGCATTTATTTTTAAGCTTGAAAATATAATTTTCTCATTTAAAAAAAGCCAGTTTTCCTGGTTGTGGTTTTGGTTTGTTGTTGTGGTTTTTTTATTTTTATTTTATGTTTTTATATTTTTTGCTGCTCCTCATGAGAAGATGGGCATTCTGCTCTAAAAACCTACTGGAAGATCAGCTATGAGTTAGTTCTGATTCAGTGACATATAACAGCAAAATCCAATTGGAATTAATGTTATAAAACAAAATATCTATAGATGATTGCATGACAACTCAAAATTGTTTGTACACTTTGACTCTAAAAAAGTGAACGTTTGAGTTTGGTGGACTCAAACATCCAGTCTTTCAGTTTGCAGCTTGACCCTCAACTGTTGATAGTATAGTCTATTAAAATCAATTATCATAATTTAATTAAAAATGTTGCTTATCTTTTCCATTTTCTCTATGTATTTAGCCTTTATGACGATATAGATATTAGCAGAATATAATCTTACTATGGTATTTCAGTATATGCCTTTTACCTAAATTAATTTTTAATGTGTTCTTGTTTATTTTATTGTCTTTCTATGATCTAGAAAATCACAGTGCACCAACTCTCCTAAATGTGAGGAAGAGGAAGAGAGTTACTTTTGGAGAGGACCTAACTCCTGAAGTGTTTGATGAATCTTTGCCCGCAAATACTCCATTGCGAAAAGGAGGAACGCCTGTTTGTAAAAGGGATTTGGGTAGTCCCGGTCCTCTGCAACTTGAAGAGTCGCCAGTTCCTGGACCTTTATCTCAGCCAGATTTTGATGACAAGGAAGAGAATCTTGTAAGTATGAAAAGTTTGTGAAGAGATTCCCTGGAGAAGGACATGGAATTGTACTGTGGCAGGATCTTATACTAAACACAAAGTCATGCAAATCAAAGGTATTTATAATAAATCATAAAGCATCCACTGTAAAGGAATTTAAAATGTGTATGATACACCAACTCAGTCAGTGTTTAGATGAAATTTTGAGATCTAAATAAATTGAAAAATGTTTCCTGTTCATGGGTAGAATGACTCAGGATTGTGAAAATGACATTCCTACCAAGAGCAGTCTTACCTGTTCAATGCAATACCAATACAGATATAAAATTCCTTTTTCAAAAAGATGGAAAAGGCAGTCAGCAAGTTTATTTAGAAAGAAAAGAGACCCTGAATAAACAAAGCACTTCTGAAAAATAAAAAGTAGGAGGCATAAATGCTTCTTCATCTCTACACTTGTACAGGTGTAATAACTAAAACAGCATGGTCCTGGTACGACGGGCACTTAGACCAATGGAACAGAATCAAGAACCCAGAAATCAACCCATCTACTAGGAAACAAAACCTATCAAGTGTGGAAATGACAGCCTCATCACCAAATGGTACTGTCAGAACTTAGCTACTAGCTACAGAAAGTGGAAGCAAGATTCATATCTCCTATAATATAAAAAAACCAATTCAAAGTGGATCAGAGATCTAGGGATAAAGCTCCAGGCCATAAAGATCATAAGTTAAAATGGGACCAAACTTAGAAGGCCTAGCCTGTAGTACAAATAAGTTGTCAAATAGAGTCAGAAATGCACATTTAGGAGTGTACAACATCGATGAAGGAGACCTTCTAAAGATTAAATCCCTGTGTATGTATCAAAAACTTTTTTGCATAGAGTGAAAAAGCCAACTGATGAGACAAAAGTATTTGGCAATGGTATCTCAGACAAGAGTCTCATGAAAGTTTACAGAATCCTACAGTACCTCCACAAGGAAAAGACTGATAATCACAAAATGGGCAAAAGATTTTTCACAGAGGAAGACATTTGGATGGCTAACAAACACATAAAGAAATGCTCAAAATCACTGGCTATAAGCAGGGTGAAAATCAAAACCACAATGAGATATCATCTCACTCCATTAGCAGTGGCAGACTTTACCAAGACAGCAAGCAAGACATGTTGGAGAGGATGGATGTGGAGAGATTACTGTTCTCATGCACTGATGGTGAGATTGTAAAATTGGACAACCACTCCGGAGGGCAGTTTGGCATTTCCTCAAAAAAGTTGAAATAGAATTTCATATGACCCATTTATTCCACTGCAGGATATACCCCAAGGAAAATTGAATGGTGACACAAATGGAGATTTGTACTCTGATGTTCATAGCAGCATTATTCACAATAGCGAGAACATGGAAACAACCCAAATGTTCATTAACAAATGACTGGATTGAAAGATGGTGGTACACGCACATGATAGCATATGTAGCATTCAAAAGCAATGACTTAAAATTCATATGGCCAACAAGCACATGGAGAAATGTTCAAAATCCCTAGCTCTGAGAGAGATGGAAATCAAGACAACTATGAGATACCATCTCTCCCTAGTAAGACTAGCAAAATTTAACAGAACAGCAAGCAACAAATGCTGGCAAGGTTGTGGAGAGACTGGAACCCTTATTCACTGTTGGTGGGAGTGTAAAATGGTACAACCACTGTGAAAAGTGGTGTGGCGCTTTCTCAAAAAG